AGAGAGAAAATGGGGAAGAAACTACCTCTAAAATCAATATCAAGCTTCTGTCAAGATCTTACGTTTTAAAGACTCTTTACTCTTTGATGTAAAGTCGACAAGTTCAGATTTATAGGTTCCTAATGCGAAACAGCTGTCTATTCATTTCTTTGTTCTTAAAAGGAAGGGAAAAGTACTTGACTGCATGTACTGTAATATTAATCTCAATAGACTATTAAACGTGTTTCCGATAATCTTACAATGCAAGTCTATGGAGCAAAGCAAGCCAGTTGCCAGTTTATTGCCTTTACCTTTGATAGGAGTAAAAATGCTAAGTTAAATTTAATCACACTTGTGATTAAATTCTTATACTTCATATAATGTCCATTTAATGTTTAGACTTCCATTGAAAATGCATTATTATTATACTGTAAGTTCAGAACCCACAACTTTACTTTTAAGACACAGAATGACAATTCCAGCAGCCTGACACAACAAAGCTTGCGTACTCCAATTATATAATAAACAAAGCAGTGAGTTATAGATAATAAATTTAACATGAGGGCAAAAGGAGTGAAGTAAATCAAGTCTAAGAGCAGCTATTAAGCACCTGCGGTATCAGTTGAGCTCGGAGAGCTGGAAGGCCGTCAGTGACAGCAGACAGTGAAGTGAACAGTCTGTGCTGTGATTGGGGTTGCAGATATCCAGCTGAGATCACCAGCTGCTCTCATGTTCATATGCACCCCTCTCCTCTTCTTCCTTTCTACCCTATTTCTCTATATCAGCCTAATTTTCAGTTTCAGATCCCCTTAGACTCCAACATAACAGAGGGAGACAAGCAGAGGGGAAAGTGAAAGATGTGTTGTGTAATGGGGCTTTTTCCTCCTCATCTTTTAAACTGGGGTTTTATGGGAATATCAGCACTCTTGCTGACACCCTGTTCTCTGGAAATGAATGGGAAACTCCATTGGAGATTTACTGGGGATTACCTGGATACTGGAAAAGTAATTATAGACAGCAATGATATCAAAAGGAGAGCAAACGGAGGATTTTTCATGAGACATCTCTGCATCAATATTGTTTATAAAGGGGTTTTTCCATTACAATTTCACAAGACTGTTTTCTTTATAAATATCGATTCACAATTTATCAAAATTAGTCCACAAAATCTGGTCACTTTATTCAAAAAACAAAACATTATTTACATAATATTTATAAATAGTATTATATTATATTTAGAATTTAATTATTTCCTTAAAAATATATGCAGTATATATATATATATATATATATGTCATTATTTATATATTTTTTTCTGAGGATTTATCTTATTCAAAGTCCACAAAGTCTGTTCATTTTATTTTAAAAGTATTTTTTACATACATTCAAAATATTATTGTATTATTTCATTGTTTGTCCCTGAAAATCTCATTTTTCATATTCTTTTTTATCATCATCATTTGTGCTCTGTTCTCATCCCTGTTAATGCATCACTGTTATTGCTGTATTCTAGTATGTAGGACTCTGGCTCTCGCATCCCTTATGACTCCTTTTGTTCCTTGCTCTCTATCTTTTTGGCCCTTTCATTTTCCCACCTGTCCCAGGCCTGTCTGTATCCTGGAGTGTGACAAGTGTGTGTATAATGAAGGCCTATTAGGAGAAACAATGGCAGCAGCTCCGTGCTGCATATGTTCAGTGGTTAAATGTTGATGACAGCTGGGCCAACACACACACACACACACACACAAGAGACCTCCCTGGGTGTCCCACAGTCTGCCGGACGAAACGATGCAGACAGCTTCAACAGGAGGCTCGACCTGAGGATATAAATGGGGTGCGGGGGTCGAGCATGACACATGCAACATTATGGCACTATGAAATTTTTGTCAGGCTGAATCCACTGTGTGCGTGGGTAATAAACTAAAGGTAAATCATTAGCTTCAGAGTATAAATCTTAATATCAGAGCCAGTTTTATGATAATTAATCCATATCCAAGAATCTAGATGGATATTAAGTCATTAGCAACTGCTTTCATTTCCAATGGTATGTTCCTACCAAATGTCTCATATTAGTGATAGATAGGACAACAGCTTTTTCATTTGAATTCACAGTCCCATCACTAAAAGACGATCTACACATCTACACAAAAACTTTACAGAAGAATTGAGCACTTTAACCAAAATGTAAGTATTTGTATTTACGTTTATAGCGCTTATTGTCACAAATGCTGCATTCATTTATTGAATTTAAAAGAACTTTTTTCTATGTTGACATTTTAAAATGTAATTTATTCATGTGGTGTCAAAGCTGTATTTTCAGCATCATTACTCTTCAGTGTCACATGATCCGTCAGAAATCATTCTAATATGATTTGCTGCTCAAGAATTTTTTTTTTATTATTACCAATGTTGAAAACAATTGTGCTGCCTATACAAATATTCCTGTTTTTACAGTATTTGTGATCAAATAAATGCAGCCTTGTTGAGAACAATAGACTAAAAAACAACAACATTAAAATATCTTACTGACCCCAAACTTGTGAACATTATAGCTATCCACAAACCAATTCACAAACCAATAGATTCACAAACCAATAGCCTAAAAAGAGCCACACCTTTATAATTCTTCTTTAAGCTGTTTGTAATCTTTATGTAAACTATATTTACCACATGGCACACCAAACTGGAACGCGTTTGCTTATAATCGCTTACGTCTGACAATGAAGTAACATAAAGAGGCTTTCTTTTTTATTAAAACACCTCCAACAACAAAGAAATAGCCTCAAGTGAATCAAACCGCATGTTGTACTGTGAATTTTCACCTGCCTCTTGCCACAGTAAATCCCAACGCACAAAAACACAAGACCTGACAGCCTTCAGCCATACAGATACAAAAGACAAGAAGGCCGTAGAGCTTTCAGCTGAACGGCTAAACCTCCTGAAGAATTTTAAGCTATTATCTGACACAGGGCTTGTTGCCTCCCTGAAGTACCACAGCACAATACTGCCAAAAGATGAAAGGATGAAGATATATGAATGGAAGAATAAATAAAGGAGATATGAAGTGGTAATAATCTCAAAGGAGAAAATCTGTTGTTGTGTACGAAAGAGTGTTAATATACTGTTGAAATGGACTTAACTGAAGACTGAAATTACACAGTCTTGTGTTATGAAGATCAATAACATCAACATGGGATTCATGAAGTGAGCAGTTCACCAGCTGCAGACAAAAGTTGTGTATTAAATATACACTCCAACTCAATATGAAGCAATCTTGCTGTCGCCAAATACTTGATTATCAAATCATAAGTTGTCCTATGAATATCACTTCATCATGTCATATGTGAGGAAAGTAAAAATAGTGTCATTAACCCACTCCCTGGCCTTCATACACACACAGCAAACTGAGCAGTGTGGCATGAATTATTCAGTCACTTTCACACGGCTTGAATAACAGATGGCCAGTGGGCTTTTCACCCAGAAAAGAGCACCAAAACATGAACTTATGGGTTAATTAAATGGACACGAGTGTATTTCGTGCAGAAAACGGGTGTTATGTAATGGAAAATGACAAAAAAAAAAAACCTGCTTTTTGGATCCTTAGTTGAGAGAGGACCTCTTGTCTGTTGTCTTCCTGAAGTGAAGACTTGGGAATCACTGCCATCTTGTGGAGGACTGTTGATGTGTAGTGGAAGTGAACACTAAAAAAAAAAATAATAATAAAAAAAAATAATAAGATGGAATGGTAAACACGACGTGTATAAACTAATATTATATGCATTTTATATATGCAAATCTTTATTTACTCACCCTCGTGTTGTTACAAAAACGTATGAAACAAAAATGTACACCTTTTTTTTCATTCAACAAACATAGTGGCAATTATATTATTGATAATCTTTCAAACCAGAGATAAAAACAAAAACGCTGCGACCATACTGAATCAGTGAGTTAAAGTGTGTAGGCTACGAATGATTCGTTCAATCCAAATTATAATCCGTATCAAAACCGACTCAAAATAATGATTCATTTACCTAATTTGGTTATTGAGTTAAACTTAAGAATATTCACATAGCCTGTGCAGCAAAAACTGGCTTGTGAATGGGCTTTATGCCCAGCTACACTACTTCCTGAACTTCAGCCAGCTCCTTGTTTCCTGTCTGCCATTATTGTCAAATTGATTAATTCAGGTTTGCTTGACCTCAGTAGTCATGGCAACAATAATCAGACACACCTGAATTAATCAATTTGGCCAATAATGGCAGACAGGAAACAAGGAGCTGGCTGAAGTTCAGGAAGAAGTGCAGCTGGGCATAAAGTCAATTGCCTTGTAATGTTGGTTTCTGACATCAACCCGCCTGTCCAACGTTGGAGATCAACGTCAATTTGATGTTGGATTCTGACATCATCCTGACGTTGGGTTTGGTCTTCTAAATGCATATTTTGTCATTGTTTTGGAGTACACTAGCTTATCGACAACAGTAAGACTATACCATATTCCTACTAAAAGTCAAACCACTTGAAATAGGGCACTATTTGAGGGTGCAGCCATTTGGGTGTTGATATTGATATGAGGGTTGGCAGGCATAGATTCAGATGCATAAGGTAGTGTAAGTATTACATACAACAATAATAAGACAATGCATTGACATTTACTTTTCACTTTTGATACTCAAGTACTTTTGAAAATACTTCTGTAATTTTACTTTAAAAATAGGTCTTTACAACTTTTAACATAGTATTTGACCAGTATATCTGTACTTTCAAGTAGGAAGTTGTGTAGCCTACTTTGTTTGCATTTTGTAAGATCCCTCTTATTTAGAATAGTTAACATTTTCAGATCCTGCAAGGGGTGTAAACGTTTGAACAGCTCTGTATACACAGACCCCAAACCCTTGAGACACACCATAAAATCAAATAAATTAAATTACCCAGCAGTAGGCTACAGGCACATAATTCATCATCTAATAAACATTGCAAAAGTAAAGCACAAACAGAATCCACACACAAGAGCACAAAACTATTTCAAAATTTCAGCACTTTAATTCACCCTTCTGTTTGTTGCTCTGCACAAATGAATTGATTACAAGGAAATTAATGAAAAAGAAAAATAAAGGGAAAAAAAAAACAATCTAAAGTTCAAAGGTTCAATTGCTCCTCATATGGACTAGTGAGTGTTTAGTGGGTTGAGAAAACCATTGACAGTTGATACTCATCCACATCAAGAGCTATGAAATTCAAAACTCAACCAACAAAACAAAAACAATTAATGCCAAGCAGGAAGAAATTAATCTGACAATAATAACAAATACAATCCAGTAGTGGTGCATGAGAGCGATGAAACGGCAGGAATTTGATCACTATTCTCCAGAAAACATTTTATAAGAAGATACCGTCACAATATAAAATGGCAGATTTCAACACTGTCTAAGTGTTGTCTATAACAACATCATCATGGTCAGAAATGTCATTTACTATATTTGACCAAAACTGACCAAAATGATACCAAAGCTCTTTCATAACTTTCCTGGAGAAATATAATATCACTTTCAAAGCCACAAACTGTTCCAGGGTAAATCATACAGTACATAGATCTGTTTTAACAATGAAACACCAGCATGATACCACATTATTCTGGTAAATATTAATGCATGCTTTGGCTTGTTAGGAAAGTTAAATGTTAAAAATTAAACCTTCGACCAAAGCAGAGATTTAACAGTGCTATTTCAGAGTAGACAACAACAATTGTGACATGACAGTCTTATTTACCGTTTTAGGAGATAAAAACAAAACAAATGATAACCAGTTTTAGGTTATGTTGGCACATTGAAAGCTGGACAGTGTAGTCATATAAAGATGAATGAATAAACTGAACATGGGAAAAAAAGGAAGAGGAAATTATAAACAAATAAAAAATAAACATTTGAGGGAAACAATGATTTCTAATATACAGGCGGTTCTTGTAAAAAAAAAAGTGGTTAAAACTGTGCCGCTCCCAATCCTTAGGTTTTCTTAAAGATAATTAAGTCTTTTATTTTTTTATTCTGTCTGCCCACTAGCATTCTAAGCTCAGACTCATCCTTTTCCTTCCAGAAGTGAAGCTTGTGGCCAGACAGTGGCGTTGTGTTGGATGCCCCTGGTGGTCACACAGCAGAACAGCAGCGGTTCTCAAACAGCTGGTCAATGACGGAGCTGTCTGCTAATGTGGACACGTCACCTAAATCCCGTTCATTACACGCTATCTTCCTCAAGACGCGACGCATAATCTTACCTTTAAAAAAAAAAATCCAGAAAAACACAAGAATCATCATAAATATTAACATTTAATAATAATAATAATACAAAAATGATCCATTCAATATTAATACCTGATCTGGTTTTTGGAAGGCTGGGCGCATTCTGAATATAGTCAGGTGTAGCTATGGCACCAATCTTCTCTCTCACTGTTTCATTAAGAAAATGGAAATAAAGCCATTACTCAGAGTTTATGATTCAACAAAAATCATCAGAATTGCGAGATATAAAGTCAGAATTCTGAGAAAAAAAATGACTTAAGTGCGACTTAACCTCACAATTCTGACTTTTTTTCTCACAATTGAAGTTTACACAAAAAAAAGTTTACATCTCGCAATTCTGACTTTATAACACATAATTGCGAGTTTATATGTCGAAATTCTGACATCTTTTCTCAGAATTGTGAGATATAAACTCGCAATTGCGACTTATCAGGCCAATTGGGAAAAGACTAACTTTTTTCCCCCCTCAGAATAGTTTATATCTCACAATTGACTTTACAACACGCAATTTCGACTTTATATCATGCATTTCTGAGCTTATAACACGCAATTGCGACTTTATATATCGCAATTCTGACTTTCTATCATGCAATTCTGACTTCATATCTCGCAATTACGACTTTATATCACGCAATTCTGACTTTATAACACACAACTACGCCTTTATATCTCGCAATTCTGACTTTATATCACGCAATTCTGATAAATAAAGTCAGAATTGCGAGATGTAAACTCGCAATTGTGAGATACAGTCACAATTACCTTTTTTATTTTTCATTCTGTGGCGGAAACAAGCTTCCATAAAAAACACAAGGAATAGTTTATAAAATAGGAATATTAAATTAAAATAGGAAAATTTGTTATTATCAGTAGAGATCATCAGTAAAAAAAAAAAAACAGTTGTATGACTGCAAATGACTGGTAAGATGGCGAATAAGCTGTATGGATTGTTGTTTTTTATGATACTTTAAATTTTTAAGATACTTTAAGATGATATAAAATCACTTTCGCTGTAGGAAAGAGCAGTTCAAACCTTCTGGCTAACATCTACTTTTGTGTTTAATAGAAGAAAGAGGGTCATATGGGGTCTGGCTTGCATGAGAGTGAATAAATTATAACAGAATTCAAATTCATTCATAGCGCAGATACCTTGCTTTTTAAGCTCCGCCTCCAGCTTTGGGTTGTAGTTGATTCCGTCATTGAGGGTGACAAAACAGTAGAGACTCTCGCCTTTGACAGGGTGTGGTCTCCCCACAACCGCTGCCTCCGCCACGGCTTCATGCTCCACCAGAGCCGACTCTACCTCTGCAGTGCTCAGTAAGTGTCCTGGGAGAAACAGATCCACCAGCAATATAAGCTTCTGCTCTATTAAAGGCTATTTATTGTACGGTTACTGGTATGTAAGCTACTTTAACGCTTTGTAAATCTCTAGTCATATCAGTAAAGAGATAGAAAGCATGCAAGAGACAAATCTAATGTGTGTCCTGAATTTCATCAACTTGTCTTTTGAAACTCATTAATCTGCATTATTTCAACATCTGCAACACATTCTCTCTCTCCACACTGAGGGAAATTACTTTCAGGAGACTTTTTGTTGTTGTTGATGGGTTTTGTGCAAATCAATAATCGAAGAAAATGTCGTCATCCTCTACTCACCAGACACATTCAGCATGTCATCTATCCTTCCAGTGATCCAGTAGTACCCGTCTTTATCTCTACGACAACCTGGACGGACAAAAAGCACACACTCTCACCTCTCACAATTATATGAAGCACACTTACTGTAAAACTGAAAACGAATCACAGCACAAATTACCGTCTCCAGTCACGTAATATCCAGGAAATTTCTTGAAGTAGGTGGTCTCGAACCTCTGGTGGTTTCCATACACGGTTCTCATCACACCTGGCCAAGGCTGTTTAAACACCTGAGGAAGAGGGGAGTGGAGTGAACACACAACAGATTGTGTTTTTACATGATTAATTAGTGTTAAGAATGTTGAAATTAAAGGAGTAGATCACTTTTTAAAAAAAACGTTTGCTGATTATTTACTCACCCCCATGTCATCCAAGAGGTCCACGTCTTTCTTTCTTCAGTCGAAAAGAACTTAAGGTTTTTGATGAAAACATTCCAGGATTTTTCGCCATATAATGGACTTGAATGGGAACCAAACAGTTCAAGGTCCAAAAGATAAATTCAGTGCAAACTGCAGGGCTTTAAACGATTCCAGACGATGAATAAGGGTCTTATCAAGCGAAACAATCGCTCATTTAAAAAATAAATAACAAAGTTTAAGTTTTATAAGCTAAAATGGTCACCTTGCTCTGTTCTGTGATATGCGTTCGTGACTCTCCTGTTCAAACTCAAAATGAACGAATCTTTTTCTGTGTCAATTCGTTCGTTTTGTTTGTTGAATGAATCAAATGACTCAGAAAAAGATTCGTTCATTTTGATGAACGAGTTCGAACAGGAGAGTCACGAATTCTCATCAAAGAACCGAGCAAGGCAAGCTTTTGAGTTTATAAAATTTAAACTTTGTTATTTATTTTTTAAATGAGCGATTGTTTCGTTTGAAAAAACTCTTATTCATCGTCTGGAATCATTTAAAGCCCTTTCAACAGTTTTCAGTTTGCACTGAAATTGTCTTTTGGACCTTGAACCGTTTGGTTCCCATTGAAGTCCATTATATGGAGAAAAATACTGGAATGTTTTCATCAAAAATCTTAATTTCTTTTCGACTGAAGAAGGACATGGATATCTTGGATGACATATGGGTGAGTAAATTATCAGCAAAAGTTTTTTTTTTAAGTAAACTACTCCTTTAACATGGAAATCAAACAAATTGTAATAGTACGAGGAAAAAAAAGAAAGAAAAAAAAAAAAAAAACACACACACACACACACACACAAAAAGATCACTGTACCAGATAGCCTTCACTTGGTCCTTCAAGTTCCTCCCCCGACTCATTCAGAATAGCAGGTACAACCCCAAAAAAGGGAAATGTCTACAAACATAAACCACCATACAGAAGTTAGTAAGTAATTCTACCACATTAATCTCAAATTAACATGTATAATTCTGTTTTGTAGAAATTATGTAACATTAACAGCAATTGTTGCATAATATTCATTACCACAGTAAATCAACTAGTATCCTTTAATGGTTACTTTGTACAAATATACACTTCTGTTATTAAAAATTGAGGTCAGTAAGATTTTTTTGTGTGAAAAACGCATACTTATTAAAAAGTGATAGTGAAGACATTTGTAAATGTTACAAAGTATATTTCTATTTCAATTAAAGGCTTTTCAGTTTCCAGAAAACTTCGAAGCAGCACAACCAGTTTTCAACATTGATAATAATAATAAGAAGAAATGTTTCTTGAGCAGAAGCTAAAAACTCTTTGCATCACAGGAATAAATTACATCTAAAATTGTAAATTATTTCAAATTCTAATAATATTTCACAATATATTACCATTTTTTAATCAAATACATGCAACCTTGGTGAGCATAAGATACTTCTTTCAAGAACATATAACATGTTACTGACCCAAAACCTTTGACCACTACTGTATGTTTTTATTCATTGCTACATTTTTATTATTTATTCACAGCTCAAGTTCACTCACGGCAGAGCCAGGCTTCAGGGGTGTAGCGGCCGGCAGAGGGGTCATCACATGCCCACCCTGAGCAACATACAAAAAAAGACATGTGACCTTTATAGTAGACGGCTTCAAAGCAACATGGATGTGACTGCTCTGGCCTGAGTGTTACAATTCAGTTCATACCGTCTCAGTCTGCCAGAACGTGTCCACCACCGGACATCTCTTCTCTCCCACCACGCTGTAGTACCACTGCCAGGCTTCTGGGTTTATGGGCTCCCCTACGGTCCCCAGAATCTTCAGGGAGGTCCGCTTATACCTGACCACATAAACCATTGCACAGTTTTGCAAATTTGACTATGTTTGTAAAATGTGTAAATAGTAATACAGACTGGCACATTCTGGCACCAGTTGTATGTAAAAACACACTGCACACAATGCACAGCGAATGAACGTATAAACGTGGCTCTTTAGCAGACTTTGTACACAAAAAGACGGACACTATCAAGTGTAACTATATCATATCATTATAGTAGTAATCAAAGTTACATCATCAAGTCGTGTTGTCTGGAAATGGGAGAAAGTGTCCTAGACATATAACATTACCAAGGAATGGCTATTATAAATAAACATTCATAATGCTGTCAATATTTATTCCTAAACACCATACATCATAATGTAAACACTGTATTGTATATACACACACACACAACACAGTGTGTCAATGAAAAATATTACTGGACAAGAATTTAACAAAAAAACTATTTTAAGGTCATAAATATTTTGATAGCTGAAGAGCATAATGCAGGGTTCAGTGTCGCATGTTCCTTCAGAAATCATTCTAATATGCTGATGTTTTGCTCAAGACACATGTTTTATTATGATCAGAGTTGTGCTTACATCTTTTCCAGGATTTTTGATGAATAGAAAGTTCAAAAGAGCATCATTTTTTAATCATTTCGGTTGAGATATTATAAACATTCATATTTACTTAATTAGCACTTCTTCGGCAGCATGTTTTGACTGTTTCAGCGTCTGTTTCGTGACACAACGCGGATAAGCTACAATGTGTTAGCTGTGTGGACACTAGCCCTGGATTGACAATATTAATTTCTCAAATTTAATCAGTAATGATAAGGTTTCTAAATCTAAAATATTTTAGTCTGTGCTGTTTTCTGTTGATGCGTGAACAAAACTTAAACAGTAGTGCCTGCCATTCAATAATCGCAAAAAAAAATTGTGCGTTAAAAAAATCGTTTCTTTTAATATGAAGCGAAGTCTCATCTTCAAATTTCTGTCGATTTTATTAGGAAATTCTATGGATCAAGCGCACATGAACCAATAATCTCTTCCTCTTTACTACTAGTAACAGCATCAAATAAACATGGCTGAACCCCAGAAGGCGTGTTGAAAGATACACTACAACTTACCAAAATGAAACCTCATGTATTTGCCGTTTCAGCTGAGGAAAGCTATCAATAAAACAGCTTGTAAACTATAAAATGTCACTTAACGTTACATACTTCAAGAAAGCGATTCAATGTCCATTAATTCACTAGTTACTGTAGCTAGAAAAAAATTACTCTAAAGAAGAGCATTTGGCTAAATATATGCACTGTATTACACATTCATTATATTTTTACTTAACCTGTTAGTGATGTCTTCATGATTTAAAGAATGTTTGAATAAATCAGTCATGAAAACAAATGATTACAGTTTATTGTCATTTAAAGGGATACTCCAGTTATTTTTTTGAAATAGGCTCATTTTACAACTCCTCCAGAGTTAAACAGTTGAGTTTTACTGTTTTTGAATCCATTTAGATGATTTTCTGATATTAAGAAGAATATCAGTAACCAGACAGTTTCTGGTCCCATTGACTTCCATAGTAGGAAAAAAAAAATGTGGAGTATCCCTTTAAATGTTTATATTCCACCAAAAAACTAGAGCAATTCTGTTATTAAAAAATTTATATAAAAACTGCCTTATGTGCAATTTAAATGTTTATAAAACTCAGTTTTAGTTATTTGAGTGTTGATTAAAGTTTGATTAATCGGTTTTCAGCCAAGTGCATCCTGAATTTTTGGTTTCGGAATTTCAATTTTAGTGCATCCCTGTTATAAATGTATTTAAAGCATTGCATTTAAAAAAAAAATGAATTAAAAATAATTTTTTTAATTTCAGGACAGACACAATAGACACCGAACTCACTTCTGAACGGGCTCACTGCCATACTTCATCAGTAGCCGGATGGCGGTGGGTGCTGTGTAGAACTTGGAGACTTGATATTTATCAACAATCTCCCACATTCGGCTCACATCCGGGTATGTTGGAAGACCCTCAAACTAGAAACAGAAGATAAAAAATAATAATTTATATCATACAACAATAAAGGCCTTTATAGATAAGTCAATTATGCTTTCAATCACTTTAAGACAGTGACTCCAAAGAGCAAAATCAGGATGTTCCCCTCACCAACACACTGGTTGCGCCATTGGCCAACGGCCCATATGTGATGTATGAGTGACCGGTGATCCAACCAATGTCCGCAGTGCACCAGTACACATCATCAGAGTGATAATCAAACACCAACTTAAAGGTGGCCGCAGTGTAGAGCATGTAGCCACTCACGGTATGCAACACACCCTAGTGGAGTGGAAGAGCGTGAGAAAAAAGAGGGACAAATCAGAGCTGTATACGAAAAGCAATTAACGAAAAGTGGTTCAAGGAGGATTGGGTTGTTTGGAGGATCTACCTTAGGTTTGCCAGTAGAGCCACTGGTGTAGAGGATGAAGAGCGGGTCCTCTGAATCACACCACACAGGCTCACACTCCTCTGACGCTCCACCAATCAGAGTGTGCCAACACATATCCACCTCGGGATTCCACGGCACCTGCACCAATCACAGCACAGAGAGCGCTCATAGCTAACTCGCTCATAGTGGCGTCACACTTCAGAGAACAATACAAAATTTAGGGAACCTGATCAGGTCTGTGAAGGGAATAAACAGAACAAATGCTGCTTTCAAGTCATGGGAAGTGTTTTTGATTGTTTTGTAGAAGTAGTGCAACAAAAATACTGAGCCAATAATGCGTAACTGAAGTACTTTACCACTGTCACACTACCACAGAGGATGATGGTTAGTTTGGTTGTCCACCATCTTATAAAACTGCTAAATTAGTAATATTTTCTTGGAAGGTTACTAAAAGTTTGTTTATATAATATATATATATATATATATATATATATATATATATTATACACATACACACATAGATATATATACACATACATACATACACAGTACACAATATATATTACACAGATATAAATCTATATATATATATATATATATATATATTTACACACACACACACACACACACACACTATATATATATATATATATATATATATATATATATACACACACACACACACACACACACACATATATACACAATATATGCATGTATATATCACACATTATATAAACAAACTTTTAGTAACCTTCCAAAAAATATGACTAATTTAGCCATTTTATTATATATATATATATACACACACACACACATACATATAACAAACTTATGTTAATGTGATTAATCGATTTGACATTAGCTTTGAATATTCCATTTTCAGTTTTAATTTTGTTCAGTTTAAATTTTAATTTTAGTTTAACCTTCAGTAATTTTGCTGTGCTTTTTTAATTGCTCTTTTATTTCTATTTCGCTTTAATTTATTTTTAATATAAGTTTTATTTTGTCATTTTAGCACTTTGAACTTTTTTCTATTATTGTTACTAGCATTTCTAACTGTCATTTAAGTTTTTCTATTTAATATCTATATAATTTTTTTTATTTCATCTTTATTTAACGTAATGAAAACAATTTTTGTAAAAAGGGGAAAAAAATAGATGGGAGAAAAAACCATTTCAATGCTTTTGTGTTCTTTGCGAGCGAACGCAAATTCTCTCGGGGGAACGCAACACATTTTCGAGAGAAGGCGAAAGCATTCACAAATCATTTTTTCCTCCCATCTCATATTTGTTTCCTTCACCATGTGCCTTTAGGGGCTCCGTAATAAACCCTCAAGCCCACATGCCTCATAGATTTATACTGTAATCACTCTTGAACTACAATGGTTTTTCTATTTGTTTTTATAATGGAAATGGTGTCAAGCATTCGTTCATCTCGTTAATACAACTATTTCAGAATGACTTGAAAAGCAGCAAAAGATTAAATGAAAAAATTGTATGCAAATAATATGTTAATTACAGGCACACGTTGGTATTTATCTCAGTCAGACTTATTAGACAGATTCAGTTCAATCTAACCAAACTGAATGCTGCACAAATGCCCGTCTGCTTTAGCCAAAGCATTCTCAAAACTGAAAGAGAAAGCATCTGAAAAGATCAGGTTTAGTTAACACAAAAACACTAGACGGACAAACAAAAAAAAGAGACATGAACGCAACAGAGAAGTCTAGAGATCTAGTTTTTCATGCAGTTCAGAGACAGGGGGAACACTATAGTTCATTTAAGTGACAAGCGCATTAGCATGGAGCTCATAGGTGAGAGTTAGAGTTTGACTACACAGAGAGATCTGTCAAATCCATTAGACTGTCTAAGCAGAAAAGGTTTAGCACATAAAACTGCTAACACCAAGCATTTAGAGTCTAGTCACTACCACGACATAAGAGCTTCCCAGATACATTTGTGATGAAATCACAAAGCGTATGTGAGGAAATCATTGGGGGGGACATGGACACACTTGTCATTTAACAGAGATGTGGAACAGTAAAAGGTTTCAGTGCTAACTCCTGGATCAGAACTGGCGACCAAATCAAGTGCAAATCATAATCATAATAACCATTAACAAAACAGGCCAGTAGTTGGCATTTCTAACTTTTTACATCTATGAATGTAATGAGGTATTAAGGAATTATTGAATATGTTATCTCATAAATGTTTTTGTTGTTAATGAACATTTTTATTAAGTGTTACTGAACAAACCAATACTAGACAATGAAAGACAGTTTCAGTCTTGGAGTAAAAAAAAAAATCAAAAAAAAAAAAAAAAAAAGAAATAAACATGACAAACACTTCCATAAAAAAGTCTGAGGTCAGTAAGATTAATTTTTTTTTTTTTTTATTCAGCACGGATGCTTACCATTGTATCAATAAAGCCATTTGTAATGTAAAACGAAACAATTTTCATCTCAAATAAATGCTGCTCTTTTGAATTTTCAATTGACCAAAAACCAGAACTTTCATTTTTAACCATCCCTTTAAGGCTGATTTATAACGATACTATAATTTCCTAAACTATTTATCAAATAAATGCTGTAAAACCTCTACATTCATTAAAATATCCTGAAAACACACAATTCCATATAAATACTGAACTGTTTTCAACATTGACAATAAGAAACATTTATTAAGTTCCAAATAAACTCGAGTAATGGCTGCTGAATTCAGCTTTGTCATAGTAATAAATTATATTTTAAAATACATTAAAATAGAAATGTACAATTCCAATGATATTTCACTATTTATAGACTAATATTTTAGATTAAATAAACACAGCCTTACTGAGCCTTCGAGACTTCAGTCAAAATCTTACCAACCCCAAACTTTTGAACAGCAGTGTATATAGTTGTAATTGTTGAACTCTGTGAACGTCATATTGTGCAATACAGCCACAATTATGAGATGTAATGTCACAGTTCTGATGAGAATTGTTATAACAGTTTCATTTACAACACATTTTTAACACTTGCAATACTGTAAACTTGACTTCTTCAAAAACAAAAAGGAACATTCTCAATTATTTTCAACTTAATGCACCTCATCTATGATCTGCTGTCAACAACAACAGTTTATTTCTATTAATTTCTATTAATCACTTTGTTTTTACAGTTTAGTAAAAAAGCCAAGTCAAGTCAATTATCATAGGTAATCGATTGAATTCAACATTAATGCAGACATTATTTAGCTGGAGTGAAGAGATTAAGTTGTCAGTAAGTCAGAATATGCCTTTAATTTATGGCCTTACAATTGAACGCCAAGTCTGATGAGTGTGTACATGGTGAAATGCATTCTCAAAAGCAAACACACAGCAACACACACAAAGATCGTGTTGAGTGAGAATGTGAGGACAAGTGATAAAGGTCTCGAGCCGTTCCTAAGAGCAAGAGAGCCGCCCATGAGCACACAAACAGGTGTTAATAAGACGAAAAAAAAAAAAAAAAAACACACACACACAACGGATGCACAAAGGAGTCATGAAATACCTGTGGGGGGGGACGGACCTTCCTTACTCTTTTCTGTTTCTCCTGCTAAAGGGGGTTAATGGAGAGATTACTCACACCGAAAGAGGTAAAGGACACAGACATGGATCCACATTGATGGAGAAAAAAATGACCTTTTGCATAAAAAGTCAAATTGACATTATTAGAATTACTGGTTAAAAAGAGGTCAGCTTGCATAGGTGAGTGTCACACATAAAACGTTCAACTGTTTCAAAGGTCTTCGCCACAATAGCTCAGAGAAATCATGCCAGACCTTTATGGATTTACAACAGTAACACAAAGCCTTTGTTAAAAAAACAGGAGTTCTCTTACGAGAGACTCTCTCGTACCGCGTAATATCTTACGCTAGATATTAAACAGTACGAGAGAACCTCTTCTAGAGAGAACCGAGGTTACGTTAGTTACCGAGTATGAAATCTCTAACACACAGGACAAACAGAGACCAGAACAAAGACTTTATGAAAGGGATACTGCAGTCATTTTTTCATCTGAATCTTTTCCCCACTTACATGGACAGATATCCATTGATTCAGGTGTAATAATCATACATTTTTGCCATGTGCTCAGGAGGGAAACACAGTTTTTAACCGGGTCTGCATCTGTTCTGATATCATTCGTCTTTGTTTGCAATTATATTCATGTATTATGAGTAATTATTTAGTAAAGAAGTATTTTAAAAAAGAAATCTCAGCAATTTTGTGTGCACTACAGTTCAAAAGTTTGGGGTCAGTGAGATTTAATTTTTATTTGAATTAATACATTTCAGCAAGGATGCGTTAAATTGATTAACAGCGACAGTAAGACATTTAAAAGGCCACAAAAGATTTCTATTCAAATAAATGCAGCCCTTTTGAACTTTCTACTCATCTAAGAAAAATGTATCAGTTTCCATATAAATATTAAGCCGTTAACTGTTTAACATTTATAATGTTTTTAGAGCAGAAAAATCATCATATTAGAATTATTTCTGACGGATCATGTGACACTGAAGACTGGAGTAATGATGCTGAAAATTCAGCTTTGACATCATAGGAATATATTATTATTTTTATTATATTTAATAAAATAGTATTAGAATAAAAACAATGTATCATTATTTTAATTTAATTTTTTAAATTCAAGTTTTTACTGTATTTTTGTTCATATGAACACAGTCTTGGTGAGCATAAAAGCATTAAAACAGTCATACAAACCCCAAAATATTGAACAGTAGTGTCTATCTTTAAATGGGTCACCCTGGTGTCTTTTGGTATCGGAAATTAAAAAAAAAACAAAACAAAAAAAACATTGTGCTTGCTTCAATATCTATTAAATTGACCTAACAAAATGCATTTGTAAGTGAGATATAATGTAAAATGAAAAAAAAGAGTGCTCTGGGACTCTACTAAGATAAGTTTGAGATTAAAAAACAACACCTGTAGTAATATGGAGATGTCCAAACGAGTAAGAAACATATTGACAAGAAAAATTGAAGGATGAAGTCTGTTAGGTGTATGGCTGTGGTGCAGAGGTTAAGCTTTACCTGCAGGTCGGGACAGGAGCGCTTCGCTGGGGGTGACAGCGAGCCCGGCGGTGAGGCCTGGTCTTCCTTTGTGAGGTGTTTTAGCATTATACATTTCTCCACAGTGAAAGACCTGACAGTGTGAAAGATATCAAGTGAACAGAAAATACACACTGTTAAGCATGTACACAGCTACAGTGGCCAATTTATTAGGGATTTCCAATATGAAACCATTTCTATTCTCCAAAACTGACTAAATCAGACAGGAAGATTTTTTTGTTCAATTAATATATTCAGTAAGGGTGCATTCAATTGGTCAAAAGTGACCATAAATGTATGTATATTGTTATAAAAGATTTCCATTTCAAATAAACGCTGTTCTTTTGAACTTTATACAGTCTTCATTTATAAAAGAATGAGTGATGATACTGAAAATTCAGCTTTGTCATCAGATGAATACATTTAATTTTAAAATGTATTCAAATAGAAAACAGGCATGTTAAATTGTTATAATATTTCCTGATTTATTATTATAGTTCTGTTTGAATCTCAAATAATCTCACTGTGTGACTAAAGGCTGCTGAAAGAATGCAGGAATTACTGTCAAGTCAACATTTCTCCCTCAAAATGAACATTTAGGGACAAAAATTGATAAGAATTGAATCAGAACCAAACAATTTTCCAGTCTTCAAGAATGCTACCATTTCACATTTGACGAAATGAATCTAATAAAGTTGCCACAGTGTGTGTCTTAACTAGAGTTTATCATACTTGTCCCTGCATTTCTGTAGTGCTTCATCAGCTATAAGCTTCAGATTGATCAGCTTATCACCGCGGTAAAACCCATCTGGGGAGAGAAAGAAACACAATAAAACAACTTTACACATTTCACAGAAAATCCTGAAAAGACAAAGACAGTCAACGTTTATTAGGTGATAACAGATGTTGATCTTATCATGGCTGAAATGCTTATTTTATGGTTATAGTCCACTCTCAAGCTCAAAGATCTATCAGGCACTGTTAATATCCAGACATCATTATAGTTATGAATGAACCATATGAATGAGCCCATTTTCAGAAAACTCAGCAAAGAACTGATCATAAAGTACTGAACACAACATTCCTGCCCAGTAGAAGCACTGATGATTTGATAACACCGACAAACATGCAAGTTGAAGTTTAGCAATGTTCATTGCCAAATAAGCATCATACAGCCAGTCTGCTTTCCTTCAAGAGGCCACGTTTGCGATTTGCTGCTTCTAAATCTGCGAGGGAAACCTTTTTCTGTGACAAACTGTAATCAATCCAAACATAAATCTCGATCTGGTTGACGAATAAATGCACTTATGCAACCTTAGGATCCACTGTGTGTGTTTAAATGATCTTTTCCTGGAATATTTGGCTATTATTCGTGATTAATAATATACGATTATTATTTCAAATTATGAAACACCATTGCAGCCTTTAAACATAGCTTAAAGGGATAGTTCACTTTGAAATTAATTTTTGATATGTTTTAGCTCACCTCAAGGGTATCCAAGATCTAGGTGTCTTTGTTTCCACAGTGTTTTCAATTTTGATATTTTTAGGTCAATCCGTTCTTGTCTCAGTCATATAATGGAGGTCTATGGTCACCACCTCAAAGAGCATGCACAGAGAAGTCCAAATTAAACATGATTTAATGACTCGTAAATGTAAGTACACATTGATGTTTGTGTGAGAAAACGAACAGTATTTTGAGGGATCACTTCCGGCGCTTTCCAGCACTTGCGCAGACCGAAGCTCCCGCGCCCTCAGAGTATAATGGACGTGGCTGTAGTAACAAGAGGTAAAACGATATAAATACTGTTCGTTTTCTCACACAAACCACTCGTTTCGTGTCTTAGGCCATCAATGTGTACTTACATTTACGAGTCAATAAATCATGTTTAATTTGGACTTCTCTGTGCATGCTCTTTGAGGTGGTGACCATAGACCTCCATTATATGACTGACAGACAAGAACGGTTTGACCTAAAAATATCAAAATTTAAAATACTCTGGAAACAAAGACATCTACATCTTGGATGCCCTTGAGGTAAGCTAAAACATACCAAAAATTAATTTCAAAGTGAACTATTCCTTTACCGATGGATTGTGGGATTCTTCCAGGTTTTATTTATCCCAAAAACTCATTCCCCTTCGAAACATGTCAAACTCTTGGAGTGGAGTTCCCTGTTACAACTAAAAAAATAAATTCACAGGCACAGGCTAAATAGCTTTTGATAGTAATACGATTACTGCCACATTCAATCCACAGACTAGTGAACAATGTGAAATGCTGCACTCTTTTGCAGTAGATGGAAACTCAGCAGATTAACTTTGGGATTAGCAGAGTTTATATACTTTGAGCAAAATACGATTTTTTGGCATGCTTTTCTTACCGGCTGTTATAAGAAGACAGCACTGAGAGTCCATGATCCTCTCACACAGGGACTCGGCGGAGAATCCAGCAAACTGAGTCAGGAACACACAAAAAAACGTGAATACATTTAATGTTGCAAAAACATTTTTCCTTTATGTTAAATTTCTGACATTTTAAACAGTTGGCAAACAGTTCAACTGTTGAAAGAAAGTTGAAACATGTATAGGTATATGTATAACATGTATATTATTGTCTTTGTTTTTTTTTAAGATGATTGGTCAATACAGTGCTCCAGCTAAATTTCAAGAGAAGACAAAGGAAATGAGTCTCAAAGGACTGACCACAATAGAGTGAACCGCTCCAATCCGAGCACAGGCCAACATGGCCACCACAAGCTCCACTACCATGGGCATGTAAATAGACACACGGTCACCTTTCTTCACTCCTGCACAGTCAGAAAGAGTAAGAGAGCATGGGACGACAAGAGGACATTGCCTAATACACTACATCGGTGTGAAATCTTTAACCTGCTGCTGGTCCATTATACCATTCTTAACCAGTTCAATATCATTTGTGTGAGCACACCTTGTGACTTGAGGACATTAGCAAACTTGCAGACTTGCTGGAGCAATTCTCTGTAGGTCACCGTCTTCTCATCTCCAGGGTCATTACCCTCCCTGTACAAATCAAAGCCAGAAATGTTACTCTCAATAGCATTTAATCATTTTTTTTACTTCTCAGTGAGAGTTAAATCTCTTTTTTTTTTGGCTCATTTTATCTGTAAAAGAAAACCTACTTAAAAATGATCCACACCTGAATAGAAAGCATTTTTCACTTCTAGCCTTTTATATATCAATTATAAATGATTAAATACAAAATGAACAGTAGTTATTAAGATTGATGTGGTTTGGAATTGGTAAAATGTGCTTGGAAATAAAATATGATCAGAATATCAACTATTATGCAATTATGAACACACTGTGTATATATATGCATTAAATTGATGCATTAAATTGATCAAAATGACAGTAAAGACTTTACAAAGTGTGTTTATATATATATATATATATATATATATCATCAAAGATGCATTAAATTGATCAAAATGACAGTAAAGGCTTTACAAAGTTATAAGAGTTATTTTTTAGAAGGCAAGATTTCTATTTCAAATAAAGTTTTTATTTTATGTTCTATTCAAAGAATCCTGGAAAAAAATAATCATGGTTTCCACATAAATATTAAGCAAAAAAAGACTGTTTTAAACATTGGTAATAGTAAGAACCATTATTAATAATTGAGCAACAAATCATCATATTAGAATGATTTCTGAAAGATCATGTGACTCTGACGACTGGATTAATGATGCTGAAAATTCAGCTTTACATCACAGGAATAAAATTACATTAAGATATATGCAAACATAAAACAGTTATTTAAAATTTTAATAACAGGTCACAATTTGAACATTGCTATTGTATTTTTGATCAAATAAAATTGCATTAGAGACTTAAAACCGAACTATTTTTAAAACCGTACCCACCCCAAACTTTGAACGGTAGTGTATTTCTCATAGACATTTTCTTTCTTAGTTCATTTATTCACAGCCATAATCGTGTACATTGATCCATGAGTACTAATGCTATGTTCAATGGCAAAGTATGAACTTGAGACACTGAGAAAATTGACAAAAACAGATTTGTGCATCTCCTAGATCAGGGGTCGGGAACCTATGGCTCGCAAGCCATATATGGCTCTTTTCAGGATTTTATATGGCTCTCCCAATTTTCAAATGTTGACTGAAAAAGTCTCTCAAAAAGTAAAATATTAAGAGATAATTTGAGATGCACCATGCAACACTTGTTAACAACTTGCTTATGATGCCCGTTTCTCAATTTGTGTGGTGTCATAAGGGGGTCGCACACCGGACGCACGCCGCGTCTAGGACAGAAGTATCGCACACAGGACGAGAAGCGCGCGCCGCGCCTAGGACATGGGTATCGCAAACCGGACGCATACTTTCTCAGTTTATGGCCGGCAATATTGTTATGTTTAAGGACATTATGGAATTAAGATAATGTACTATGTTATAATTGTACTGTACAATTAAATACAATCGTTGCGAAGTCTGCAGAACACTTTACCTCAGCAATTTTCATTTAAGCAGCTGATTTCTGAAAATGAATGTAAAAGTAAATATAAATTGCAGCACACGGTGAAGTCAGTATGTACATTAACGACTGTTTGAGACAAATAAAAGCAAGTTTTATGTAAAATTATGTAAATGGCGCTATGTGGCGAGGCAGGATTTTTAACAAGGTCCTGAGCTGTTGCTGGGCGCCGCGGACAGAATGGGCCACCGGTCACCGGTGTACACTCCAGGAGTCCTACCTAGAGAATAAAGTGTTTGAATTTTATGAGGCGCTGCGCTTCTCGTCCAGTGTGCTAGAAACCAGCATGTCAGTGAACAAAATATCAGACATCCCAAGTCTCCCGGAAGTTTTGGGAGTCTCCCGCATATTGACAGCGTCTCCCTTATGCCGGAAAATTAGTTAAAATCTCCCGGAATCTAAAGCGAGATAGTCATCAATCAATGCGTGTAATCAACGAGTGTAAACTTTGCTCTGGCTCTTTTGAAAAATTTCTCAATTTTGTTTTGTTTGTTTGGCTCTTCTTGGTAAAAAGGTTCCCGACCCCTGTCCTAGATTCACAGCCATGTTCAATTTTAACGTTCATCGTTTGTTTGGGATTACTGTGAACTTCTGATAACACTATTTTGGTGTGAGATGTGCCCTACAAGTTAACGTGTAACTTTACATTTTTCCTTAACTTTGGATGTCAGCAGACATTCTTAAAACACAGCTGCGTTCTGACACAAAGGAGAAGAAAGACCACAACTGCAGAAGAGAGTCATGTTTGAGTGTTTCAAACTTATGTTGTAAACTTTATAATTGCCAAACTGGCATTGCAAAAGCAGAGAATTAGCAACAGCCCCAGGCAACATTCGTTGAAGTGCTTGAAGGCTATTTTTGTAGATCTGAATGCTAATGAACAATGACCTCATGAACTGCAAGGACAGCATTCAGCACAGAAAAACCTGATCCACTGCAATGCACATGAACAAATGAAGCCTATGAAGATGCAACACTAAAGAAACACTTCATTCTGGTTGGACCGCTATTGGCGGGACCTGGGTCAAGCTTACTAAAATAGCTCCAATGTGCCCCTGTCTGTCAACAAGCATGTGTATTAAATTATTTCACAGATATAATAAGAGCATAGCAATACTGTATCGACTCAGGTAATATGAAAGTGGACTAAACCATATAGGTTTGTGTGGCTTAACGTAAAGGTTATAGTGCAGGGCTGGTTACTGAGAGGTTGTAGATTGAAATTCGGTAAGGGCCGAACCATGAGCAATGATCCTAAACCAATGTTAATTTAGAGGTATTAAAGTGCCCCTATTATGATTTTTCGAATAGGCTTGCCTTTTCATGCAGTGTGTAATAGGGGTGTAACGTTACCCATGTCACGATTCGATACATTTACTCGATTCTGAACTCACGATACGATATTATTGCGATACTCCAAGACATATGGTAAAAGGTTAACAAAAAATATACTGTTGATTAAAATGCTAAATTTGATATTACATTGTGGGTGTAAATGAATGGGTTTGGACTTGGTGCTTGTAAGTAAACCCAAGGAATAAAAATATTCATGATTCTGAAGCTGAAAATACAATTTTCAAATAATTTTAGACAAATGTGCTTGCACTCTCTCACTGACTAGATATATTTAAAATACATGTCAGGTAACAGAAGACATTTGGACCAACAAATATTCCCCCATTGCATTATTATACAGTATAATCAATTATATATATAGTAGTTTAATGTAGTACTGACACTAAAACTCGGAAAACATGAATTTTTTCTCACACAGTAATTTTTATTTTGAAAGTATCGATTCTGAACAAGTCATCAGCAATTCCAGTCTCACTTCCTGTTACACACCTACATAAATGTAACAAATTAGCAAAATCCCTGCTTATAGTCTTCATTGGCTGCCCACAAACAACATCTACTTTGACCCGCCCCTTAAAATCTGGTTTTGTTTTGGTTTGTGTTGTCGAAATGTCGAGAAGATGCTGTTTTCAGTGCTTCACTTGAGCTGGATACAGAAAAACCGGCGCAGTCGTTACTGTTCGTATCATCGTATATGAAGTGTGTGGAAGCTCTGGGGTTGAAATTCAGATATGGTAATGGCTGTTTCATTTCATAGACCAATCACAACAGACTGGGCTGTCTGACAAATCAGAACAGAGTAGACCAATAGCAAAAGACTGGGCCGTCTGACCAATCAGAGCAGAGTAGACTGGCGGTAAAGGTGGGTTTTAAAGAGACTGAATCTTCGAACAAAGCGTTTTCATTACTGTAGGTTATGCATAATATGAAAAAAAATGAAAGCGTTTTTGACCTTGGATGCATGTAAACTTATTGAAGGAGACCTCCAAAACAAAATTAGGAACATTTAAAATAGCATAATAGGGGCACTTTAAGTGTTCTGTAATCTGTTGTTTTGTATATTAATATTGGCAAAGTAGATGAAGATCAAAACACTGACATCACTATTCTCAAAATAAAAAACAAGACTCTAAATGTCACGCGCACAACTTCCAGGTAAACTGTAACATTTAAACCACATGCTTTACAAATACTTACCAGTAAAAAGCCACTCTGTCACCCAGTTTCCTCTCATGGACGATGCGGTCCAAAACATTATAGCAGATGTTGGTTGTGGCACCTTCCATGCACTTCACGTAAATCTCACCCTTGGTCACGTCGAAATTGTAGTCCAGGAACTTCCCAGTGTATTTTGTCTTCCAGAAAAAATCTTTGGCGACATCTCCCCAGAACTCTGGACACAATGGGACAAACAAATGCTGATTTTTTGCAGAACATTTTTTGGACAAAACCACAGACAAATTCACTACCTTTCAACGCTACAAGTAAAAATAAATAAATAAAAAAACTAGTAAAAAAAATAATATATTAGCATAATAATGAAGTATTATAATTATTATTAAAAACATTTTATTTCAATGTACTAGATATTTAAATTGATTTCAAAAAGTACAAGAACAACAATAAATAAATTAATTGTGTATTATTATTAAAGAAGAAACTAATATATTCTATTTTATACATGAAACATAGATACAAGTCGGGCTACACGAAGCTTGGCTAGATCCAAGATGCAAAGCAAAGGTTGCAACATCAAAATAATACACTATCGTAACACAAAAATAGAGCATATGTTATAGATACAAACTGCTGTCTACCAAGCTTTAAAATAAACAGCTATATGAAGTTTTTATTCGAAAATATCCGTTTTTAACCCGTTAATAACCTGCCCAAAAGCATGAAACTCACCCTCAGGAGACTCGACAGAGTTGATGTAGAGCTCTTTGTATTTCTCAAAACTGGGGATGTGCGCTTCTTTCTTCAAGTCCTCTGAAGCATGTAACACGTTATCGCCTGGTGCCTTATCAGGAATCATTTTAATAACCAATTATATGAACGCAACTAATATAAAAACAGTAAGAAAGCACACAGTCTAATGTGTGTAAGTCACTTCCGTGTCGGAGAGTTTCACTCCCATTCAGGCGTCATGTGTATTTGAGCCTGAAATTGTTAACAAAACGAGAGAAAAATCTAGATTTAATTTTATATCTAGATGTGAATGCGGTGCTTTTGTTTTAATAAAGAAGACGATCCGGATTCAGATTGCAAGGACGAGTCGTCTGCGGGTCGCGTTAAATTGCACTTTAAATAATTACTATTTTAAGTAAGCTCGAAATGTTGCTCCGACGACACTAGACGGAATAAAAAAGTAAATTTGGATGTAGAAGAAATCTCACATATATTAAAAAAATTAAGATGCACTTGAGAGCTGTCAGACAGACAGCAGGTCTCCTTTCGCTGGAGGTTATATTATTGTGCAAGGTCGATTAAAGCTGGAAATAATTTCCCACATTTGAGAGTAACTTTAGCTTGTAACTGAACCAAACATGTAATTAAAATAGCCGTGCATGCAGTATTGTATTATTCATTCTTCCACGCGTGGATTACAAATCCTTAGTGTGTCTGCAGGAGGACAGCCATTGAAGAGTAGAAATAATGAAAACGACTAGAAGGGCAAATTACCGAAACGTAACTCCTTAGATGGGCGGGGCTTAGCCTTAAGGAGGTTGATTCTTATTGGCTTATGGGCCCTTTTAACATGATTCTTATTTACAATATACATTTTATTTAAAAAAAGAAAATAAAAAACGTATAAAATACTATATTCAGCAAACAAGAAAAAAGGCCAGAGCATGTTTTTAAATAGAGTCTACGACAGATTTCAATCATTAAACGGATAGTTGACCCAAAAATTAAAATTCTGTCATTTAAGTTACTCACCCTCAATTTGTTACAAAACCTGTATGAATAACTTCTTCTGTTGAACAGAAAAGAAGATATTTTGATGAATGTCCGTAACCAAATACTTGTAGGCTCCATTGACTTTTGTGTAAAACTGAGAAAAGAACCTCATTCAGAGTAAATTATGACAGAATTTAAAATTTGGGGTGTTTAGTAAATTGATTTAATTGAAATCTATTCAAGTGTTTACAAATATTAATCTCATTTCTGACAATACATTTGGAAATTTTAGCAACTGTTAGTCTTCTACTTAAAAGGGATTTCAAGTATGGTAACTAATCTTAAATAGCTGCTCTATTATGTTATGCTTGTTAATCAGTTAGCAGTTTCTCCACTACTTGTATATATTTTATTATTGTCAAATAAGACAATTAATAATAAATAAAAATAAATAATATTTGAATGAGACAATGCAGCTCTGTATTTCTGGGCCGCCAAACGCCCCCTAGAGGAAGAACTCAGGGCGGCCTGAAACTGTAAGAAAGATTTGCGAGAGACGACAGCAGGAGATGCACGAGTGTGTTTAAGCTCACAATGACCTCTACCGGACGGAGGACAATTGTTGTCAGTGACGCCAAATATTCTGACATGCGTTCTTGTTAAAAAAAATAAAATAAAAAAAAGACCACTTTTAATCTGATTTGAAACCACTTTTAACTAGATGGCCCATTCTACAGAATTGGTGCAAACTGCTGTCCGACAACCAAAAAACACAATTAAAAAATTGCATTTAAGTATTCAATTGTTAGATTTTTACTTGTATTTAAATATTTTTGTAATTTTTTTTTGGTTTTAAAAATATATTTTTTTGATTTCTTTTAAAAGGTAAAATAAAAACAAAAAAACATGTATTTTATATTTTATTTTTAAATCACGAAACTTTATGTAAAAAAAAGGTTTGTTGTGGTCCATTGGCTGAGACTGATTTTAACCACATATTTTTGATCAGGAAATATTCTTTTGTGCTTCTCTCCTTTTTCCACTTTTTTTTTTAAGATAGTTACCATCATTTGAGGAAAATATGTTCAAAAGTTTGAAAATCTGTGCACAACTTTAAGGGACATCACTACCAAACACCTTTTTTTCTGCAATTAAGCAAACCTTTTTAGGTGTAATTCCATAAAATTGACTTTTTATGTTATGAAACAATGAAGTTTCGTTGTGACATGATGTTTTTTTAGTGTTATTCTATCAAATTCAGTTTTTATGTTTGTACAGCAGTTCAGAACTGTGCTAGGTAACCATCTTTGAACTAGACCCAAAAGTACCTTAAATTGACACTACCAAAAAAGTCATGACCGAAACATGCCATCATTGTTTTGGTAGTGACAAAAGGGAACACAATCATTTATTTGTGGGTAAATTAACAAAAATTATTTACAGTTAAGCAAATTATTAGTATCTTAGTATGTAATGTGATGTGGTCGCTAAAACATTTGTCACTACACAAAATGTGCCTTTTTTACCGAAACATGGATGTTTTATCTAAAATAAAAGTATACTGAATTATCAACCAAGATGTCTTTATAGTGTTTGGTTCAATGTATATTCAAACTAATGAATCCTTAACTTTGAAATCAATATGATTAACTTAATGCCTCTTACAATGAAAGATTAGGTACAAATTACAACTAATCTTAGAAATTACACTTGAACTATTGTTAAAACTAATTGTTATTGATTAACCTGTGAAACCCTTTTTTTTAAAACAGCAAAACTTTGTCCGCATTACACATGCATGTGAAACTCAGGAAGCAGTTCTAGCAGACCAATCACAGCACTTGTGGCACACTTAGAATTGACACGTTCATTACATTTTTGGAGAGGTGCACGTCAGGGTACGCGCGCTACACACAGCCTACGCCGTAGCAACCGTAGAGTTCGATGCAGAAGTATAAATTGGCCTTTAGTCATTAATAACAACTTTAATCCACTCACATTATTAAAAACCAAACACAGGAATCCAATTTTACTTTTTATTTTACAAAGAAACTTCCAGATCCCATCCTTTAAGTTAGATGTTCCTGTAAAGAGAGAACACAATCATTAGAATCAATCCTCATCCGGCTGCCTGATTTAAACCCCATTTAAACAACAGCTATTACAATCAAAAGGCTTTAAGTAGTTTGCATTATTATAAAAAAATAAAGACTCTGCGGAACTCAAATGTAGTTATTTTAATGGGGACCGAGATTTCTGTCCCTCCATAGACCGCAACCAGTTTGACAGTTTAAAAAGTTCATAAAAGAGACAGAGGAACCTGCGGGCGAGTAGATGACAATTTTCATTTTTGGGTGAAATAACCCTACTGAAAATCATGACTAGGAAACATTTCTTACTATGAAAAGCATTTTTCTCCCCACACAATCACGAAGAAGCAACAATTTAAAAACTAGTAATTTTAAAGAGCATTTACAAGCCGACAGGAAATTCAGAGGAAAAACAACAGCAGCATTAGTCGTCCACTGACAGGAGCTTACTTTGCCACAATGCTGTCGTTCTTTGCAAGCCTCAGGAGGGAGTCATCAGCTTCACCCTGTAGATGAGACACCATACATTTATATAAACACCTTCCAAACTTCACACATATGAGGTAATGAGATGTCAATGTAAAATGGGCTATAAGTGTGACTGAACGCACATACCATTCTACGGATGGCACCACAGATGGCGTAAGTCTTGAACTGGCCATTGAACCTGCCTGTTGCCCTGTCCACCTGTAACAAAAACAGACCGACAGGCTCATTAAAAATCACAATCACAAGATCACAATCACATGGTTTAAATAAATATCATATTTTTTTAATTTGTATGCATTATTTACATGACTTCCAATATATAAAAATGTTCGAAAGCAATGTTTGTTTTATCAAAATCTGGAGTAAATGGTGTAAAATTAGTGTTCATATACGTGTACACTTACTTGCTCTTATGAAATAGCATATGGCTTGCCTTTGTATATAATCAAATTGCCTTTATGAGGGCATGTCTGCAAAGACTAGTTTTGTAATGTTCAAACTCGTGTCAAACCTCAGCAATGTTGAGTTGGATGGAGGCATGGTCCTTGGCACCGATGATTCTGTTGCTAGCAGAGCTGGGAATAAAAACACAACAACTTATTATCGGCAAATTTGATAAGATTTGGGCACTCACCGTATTTATAACCAGTAGCTAACTGTTCTAATGCGACTATTTCATAAGTAAACTGAATTCAAATTGTAAAACTGAATTCTTGCACACATAGCTAGTGACAATTCACAATAGTATTAATATAGATAACGTTATTTGATCGAAGGATGTTAACTCACCATTTACGGGGGACGTACAGGTCCACGAATTCACCAGCATCGTTCTGCATCTTGACTTTACTTGATGACTGTCAATCAGCTCAGTCTGTATCAAACAAAGAAAAATAAGTCAATCAAACAACATTCTTTACAAGTTGGAGGTGGAGTTGATTCTTATTATGATTTTTAGACGCTTTTCAAGCGCAGGCAGTGAACTGAAGGGTCTGGAGAGCGGCCGCGGTGAGCGTTGCTCTCCACATGTGTAGCGACTCAGCCTTGCTGAGTTATTCACGATAAAACGCACAGAAAACGCGAATATCTGTTACACCTTGTGTAGAACAGTTCCGTGCATAGATGGTATGAGAAAAAACGTTGTAAATGTTGGCTTGAAACAGCAAAAAATATAAAAGTAAGCTAGAGCTCATGGTGTTCTTACCGAATTTCACAAATGGCCGACGCGGAAAGGAAGGAGAAAGGGTCAGGAAGTGACGTAAAAGGAAAGACAGAATAAGAGTGCATGGTCTTTATTTAACAGAATAAATATTCATTCTCACCTTTGCCGAAATGGGAAACTTTACAAACAAACCTTTGTGAAATAATTACTTTAAAAAAAAAATCGTTGCGGAAACAAGCCAGTCAAGTCAAGTCAAGTAAAATATATGGAGCGCTTTTCACAATACAGATTGTATCAAAGCTGCTTCACAGTACCAACAGCAATGTTTGTTTATTACTGCGACAAGCGTCAAAGTTACATCTTACTGCGACAAGCGTCAAAGTTACATCTTTCTCTATTTTTAAGACACCACAAAACAAAAAGCTTATAAAAACAATAGGCTACATTTAAAAAAAAAAAATAAAAAAAAAAAATAGGCTACATTTTAAAAAAAAGCGTTTTAAAATTCATGTAACTGCCCTACTATTATATACAACTTTTTATCCCCGTATTTTGAATTATATGTATATTGGTAAATAGGCTATGTTAATTTTTTTTTGCTCTGTTTTACATTGGCTACACTGAACTACTACAATGTCTTATGTCTTGCATTGTACTTGTCTGTAATTGAACTTAATCTATCGTTAAAGGACATTTCCTAAAAACACGTTTTCTCCCTTGTGCATTGAATCATAAATCTCCACTTAAGTAGGCAGAACACTTTTATTCCTATCTATGTTCTGAAGTTTTTTTAATTTTAATTTTTAATAGTTTTATCTTCCTTGTCCTATCTGGTTAAACCTTCCTTCTTGGACTGTCACAAGTTGATCAGATAATTAAATTGAAAATGAGTAAATAAACCTCAGATACAGGCATCTCAACGTACTGGTGGAAGCATTATTTTTATTTATTTTTTTGTTGTTGTAAATATTCAAAGATATAATATAAATATAAATTTAAACC